CTCTTTGTTGGGCTTCTTTTAACCAAACATATACTTTATTATATGGCTCACATGAGCACTAACTGAGGATGAGTAAATCTGTAGTTCTATGGGATCCATGAAAGATTTTTGAGAGAAATGTCTTAGAGTAAATATCTCGATGTATAATTGTATGATATGATTAATGCAAAAATAAAATAAAATTGAGTTAGTGTAAGGATGCGATTTGAGAAAAAAACATTTTTTTGAGTTTTGAGAATTTTTTTTGTTTTGTTTTGTTTTGTATTACACAACTTTTATTTTTAGGTATTTCTTACAATAAGGTGAAGAGGCTCTACCTATGGCTGGTTTTCTAAGCTTATTACATGCTGGGTTTGGATTGACACATGTCTAAAGGTTCCCAAATTATTCCTCACTATCGTCCACGTTTGACTAGTAATATATTTCATTATTTATTTTTATTTGTTAATATTATAAAACAACAAAAATTTATTCTAGCAAATTTAAACATTTTAGCATACATAAATATTAATAAAAAAATTTAAAATAACAAAAATGATATTTAAAAAAATAAAAAAAATTTAAAAATTTTTTTTTATTTTTTTCAGACCAGTCAATGATCCGGTCAACGTTAATTTATCGGTCTGATCGCGTTTAGTAGTTCGACACAATCTAGTTCGATTTGGGTGATTAAGCAGTTCAGCATAGTCTGGTTCGGTCTGATCCGATTTATCTAGATTGATCAGGGTTAAATGGTGAGTCGGGTCAGTAGGTCGGGTGCACGGACCTCGAATCTGATCACGGGTTGACGCGCAAATCCTTAGAGGCTTAAAACGACATCGTTTTAGGGTTTTATTAAAATGAAATCATTTTAGCTTTAGCGGTTTCTATAAAAGGCCTAAAATTTTTTTTTTGTCATTTCCTCCCTTTTCAAGAAAAAAAAACTTCTTTTCCTTCTCAACCTAAGCACAAAGGGGGTCGGCTGGTTGGAGTCCAATCACCGTCACCGTTGGTGGTCACCGACCAGTAGTTAAAAAATACCAAAAAACACCAAAACATTTCATTCAACCCTCTCTTGTCGAATTTGAACTCTTTTTCACCAAAAATAGTCCCGATCGACATAGATTGGGGTTTAAAGTTTTGGTCTCCCTTTTTTTTTAAACTAAAACTAACCTTTTTTTTTTTGTTTCTACAGGTGTTGCTTTGGCACTGGGTTCCTCACCAAATGGCGAAGGCTATGATTTTTGTTTGAATTTTTTTTTAGCAAGAAGAATTTTTTATTCTGGAAACTCTTTTTTTTTTTTTTACTTTTTTTTTGTAGGATCTCTTCCTCTTCTCTCTTTTTAGGTTTGGCCAAGAGTTCTATTTATAGAGCTTTGGTCGTGCCCTGTGCCTGAGTAAGTGGCACAAGGCACGATATAGGGTACAAGCACGAGCTCCTTGCCATTTTTATTTCTTCTGTCTTATTCGATAGTTAGGAGTATAGATGGGGTGGATAAAGTTTACAAGGTATGAGTGACCATGAGATGGGTGATCAGAGGGTAGGGTACGGTGGCCAGTGGTGCTGGGTAAGGCACCACTGCCATCCTCCCTTTTGTTTTTTTTGTATTTGTTTGGTATTTTATATTTTGGTATTTTTTTATATTTTATATTTTGTATTTTTATATTTTTAATTTAATAAAACAAAGAAAATAAAAGGCAGGTTGAACTTAAAGAATAAAATGGGCTTCAGGCCCAATCGAAATCAAACTTTAGGCCCAGTCGAATTGAAATCGGACTTAAAATTCAATTAAATTGAAATCGGACCTGAAGCTCAGTTGAATTGAAATTGGGTATCAACCCGATAGCTTGAGAATTATTAATTAAAATTCACACAAATTTAATATCTACAATAATAAAATTTATATTTGGATTCAAAAGAGCGATGAGACGAAATGAATTATATTGAAAAAAATATCATTAAAGATATTTAATTAAAATTTATATAATAATAAAAATTTTAAATTATTTAATATTTATAAAATTAATTAATAATTAAAAAATTATTTTTATGATAAATAATAAAAAATAATATATCAAATAATAAATTTATTGTATTAAATTAAAAAATTATTTTTAAAAATTTTAAATAAAAAAATAAAATATAATTAAATGATAGGATATTTTTATATTTATAATAAAAATTAAGGGGCAAAAAAGAGAAAAATAAAATAAATGAATCTCTAGTGAAGCACTGGACCAACAATGATCACTGAAAAATCTGCATCAATCGCACCGCCTGAATAAATCAAATGCAAAATTATATACTATACGATACGGTTTGCATGATCTCCCATAACAATCCCACCCCGATTAAATCCAAATGTAGCCATAATCTCTTTCACTTGTCTGATTTGAGTGCAGAGCGCACTTCAAAATTCCAGCTTCAATGCTTCTTAATCGTACTTTCCCTTTCAAGTCTTCCCAACCTTCTAATTACCAGTCAACTAAACTCTACCTCACCCTTACCCCATCAATACATAATGTCAAGAGGCATGTGAAATAATTCAAGGATAACTCCTGAAGAATTTCTAAGAACGCCATCACATCCGGCCTGTCCAGATTTACCTTAAGTTGACCCATCAACATTAAACTTCAAAGCCACATTCACCACTATTAAGGCATAGTATCTGCTATCGACGCATATTCTAATCTCTCATGCCAGCATACCTATGTGGCTATATATGCAGCTTATCCCTTAAAATAAGGCATCCCTTTTGGTATTTTGTCCTCTCCGATCATGTTGAGATTACAATTTCAACTTTGCCACCTTTAGCTATAATGTCAATCAATCATCATCAATTTCGGTAAAGAAACAGAACACATTTATAATTAACCTTAGCACAAGTCAAGTTACCTAATATATAATCTATGTTTTGGCTGGTCACTTTTATGGTTTGAAAAACAGGGTTATGTACAAAAGTGTTCATAGACAAAAACCAAATAAAGTCAAATCCGTGGGCATAGTATATCATCCTGTCTTTCGACATGTCTGGTTCTGAATCTAATAAATACTAGTAATATATTTAGATTTTGAATAACTGGTAGAAATGGAGTTTATTTTTGTCGTGAAACCTGAAATTTAACAGGAGTAATGTGTGAAACAATGTGCATGATGTATAATAATATCACGTGATAACAGTTCGTACGTGGTTTTATTGATGCATGAGGAACACTTTTATTGGATTTTGTTCATTCTTTCTTTCCCACGGGAGTCCTTCCAATCAATCAAGCTACTGTTATCTCTAAGCTGGCCTCGCCATGAAGGATCAATTTTGTTAACAGTAACAAGCGAATATATAGTACAAAGCTTTCAAACCCCCTGTCTATAATGGTGAGGGAGCCAAATCTATGAATTTTGATCAGTAGTAGCAGCTAGCTTAAGACTTAAGAGTAAACAATAATGTTTTGTTCCTTTTCGCTGGCATTGTTTTCATCTACAACTATAATTAATTTGTTGAATACTGATGATGTTTAAAAGAGGGGTAAGGAAGAAAAGCTACCTTTATTTTGTTGATAATTTTATTCGATCAGAAATAAATTGTATGCCCAGTATATATTTTCCTTCTTCTCATATAGAACAAAAGAGATTTTTTCCCACATTTCATTGTCCCAATGTTTTTTGTATTTTTATTTAAAAAATATATATTAATATATTTATAAAAAAAATTACATAAATATACAAGATAAAAATAAAAAATAAAAAAATAAATTTTGGCTTTTATTTTTTAAAAATTATAGGTACATGAATTACCCATGTATCTATTAAATACTTACAAAGATAAATATATGAACAGATGACATATGAATAGATTTAAAATATCCATAAGATATAAATACAATAACAAATAAATATAAAAATTCAAAAAATACTTTACCCACCCCATTTCATTAATAAAGAAATAATCACACAGTTGAGATAGAGGAATCCCAGGCTATTTGCCACATACTAATAAATAAATACTACTTTCTTTGGGACTAAAATTAGGGTAATTAAACTTCATGCTTAATATTATTTTCATAAAAATGGTGCGCCAAAAGCATCTGATTTCATGTGTTGCAGCTGCTTGGCCTGCACATATACCGGAAACTTTGGACCTTTGTTTTGGATAAGGAAAGCAACCCACGATCCACACATCCTGTTACACGAATGAGGAATCCTACCACGGCACATTGGGCTCCACCCGAGCCCCTCTTCTTATAACAGGACAAGGTTCCCCCTCTCCCCACTGTCATCATTATTCTTTTTTATTATTATCATTATCAATGGCGAATAAATTTAAAACTATTAATTATTTAATTATGCATATCACGTATACACTATTACTAACAATACAAAATCTTCTCTTTTCCATTTAAAAAACAATTCTTCTTTTTCATTTGTTTTTTCTTGTTGGTAACTTTTGTTAGTCTCATTAAAAAAAAAAATACATAAAAATCAAAACTTATAAAAAAGATCTTTTCCTTATTCATTTTTTTAAGCTTTAAACTCTGATTATTTTCAAATGTATTATTTATAATTTAAAGCAACATATTTTGTCATTAGATTTATCGATGCGTAATATTTTTATTAATAAATTAAATATATAAACAGTGATTAAAAAAAGTTAAAGCAATGCATTTGATTAAGAGTTGAATTAAGGATCAAATAATGAATTAGATCATTAATAGATTATATAAATTTAAAAACATTTAACATGCTTATTAAAGAAATTAAAATTTTAGTTAAAGGTTTTCATAAAATAATCGCAAGTATTGTGACATTTTTAGTTGTTGATACACATAAAGCTTTCGTCCATGAAAGACATGAATCATAATTTAAATAATTACCACATTGTCGAGTCGTGATTATGGAAAGGACTAATGAAATTTAAAATGATTTTTTGTTTTTACGATTACAAAAAGTGGGCTCGGAAAAAAAGTATAAAAAAAAAATTAAAAAAAAAAAAAAGAAGAGGAAAATGCGGATGCGTTGGTGTATTATTTTTTTTGCCCTATAAATAAAGGAAGAAGCCTAGTTAGCACGGACTAAAACAGAGCTGCTGCTTTCTTTCTCTCTGTCTCTCTCTCTGTTCTCTTCGTTTGCCAAAAACTGTTGAGTTTCAGTAGGTTTTCCGGTCTTTCATTTAACTCAGTTTTCTTTATTTGGCTGTAGATTTGGACAGGAAGTGAAAGAACGTGAGAGAAAAACAAGATTCTTGAGAGTTCTAGATGGACACGTACACTGTTCATCTTGCGATGGCGGCTCTCGTTGGAGCTTCGCTGGTGGCCGTGTCGGCGTATTATATGCACAGGAAAACCCTAAGTCAGTTGCTGGAGTTCGCCAAGACGGTGGAGAGGGAGAAAGAGAGAGAGGGTGTTCCGGAGAGAGAGTCGCCGCAGCACTCCAAGAAACGGCATGGCCACCATCCGCGCCGGAAGGGGAACGGATATTACCGCCGTGGCTCGGCGTCTTTGCCGGATGTTACTGTGATATCCTGCGGGATTGATGGTGAAGAGAAACGCAACGGTCCCATCCATGTTGACGAGATTCCCCCCGGCTTGCCGAGGCTCCATACGCTGCCTGAAGGTGAACTTGGGATTTGAAATCAAGAGTTTTGATGTGTTATTGAACAATTTAAGTGTAAAGTAATAGTTTGCTGCTTTGTTAAATAAAATTTTGCACATTGCCTAATTTTCGTCTGGGAAACCTGTTTTCTTGTTCTATGAAAATGAACTGGAATTTATTTTCAGATTAATGCGACAAAAGTTGCCGACTTTTGTTACCTTTGGTGAAGGAAAAAGGGGAAATAGACTTACAAAAGAAATTACTCCAATTTGAAACTTAGAGGCAAGAGTTAGATTACTTTTTGTACCGAAGTACTTCAAGGGAAGATCAGCCTTGTTTTCTAGATATTCTGACTCGAAATTTTGCTGACCTGCCAGAACATGAAGTTTGTAGGCGATCATGATATGTGAAGATCGATAATCAATTGAAAAAAAAATGAAATAAAAAACAATTGAGTGATATTTTTTTGTCCTTTAAGATTTTTGGTTGCATCTCTTTACGACTTTAAAGCAACTTTCAGTCTTTCACTCCTGAGAAAGTTCCAGTTTTAGGGTAGGAAAGAATAAGATTTATCTCGGTTTTTTTTTTTTTTTTTTCTTTTCTTAGTATTCTCTTTATTCTTTTTCCTTTTTACATTTTGTTGCATCAATGTGATTTCTGATTAGATATAGTAATTATTTGGGTTCAGGGAAGTCTGGTAGCCATGCAACTTCAGCTAAGAGATCTGGAAATCTTATCCGACCTACTTCTCCCAAGTCCCCTGTTGCTAGTGCAAGTGCCTTCGATAGCATAGAAGGATCAGACGATGAAGATAATGTGACTGACAATTCTAAGTTAGACATTACATATCTGCATACTAATGGAAATGCTGTGAGTGAACCCTTTTTTCCTTTTTTATGCAGAGATCGCTTCTGCTATGCTTTTATAGTTTGTTGGAAATTTGATCAAACTATTAAGTTATACCTAAATCTCGCATGTATAGGGCCCCAATTTGTCAGACCATATTAATGCCAATGGAGAGACAATGCAGATAGCTGCTTCAAGCATGATTCGATCCCATAGTGTATCTGGTGACCTCCATGGCGTTCAGCCTGATCCTATTGCAGCCGATATCCTAAGGAAAGAGCCAGAGCATGAAACTTTTGCACGACTTAAAATTTCCCCTGCTGGTATTACCTCTCTCTAATTGTATGCTACATTAGGTTTGTATGTAATATGTCTGCATCATAATGTTTATTATTGCTTAATAAACCACTTTCATCATTTCTTGTGTCCTAATGCTTAAATCATGTGTGTGTAAAAAGTTTTCAACATGTTAAATATTTAGTAATCTATTCAACGAAAATGCTAACATTCAAGTAGACCTAAAACCCATTCTTGTATGATTTATTAAAACATGCTCATCTTTCCTTTAGAAAATATAAGATGTTAAAAGGTCTTTTAGTGCTTGACAATAGTCTAAGATAGTGTCTATGTTTGTTCCCTTGTTTGAAAGATTGGAAGGTCCTATATTTAAGTTTAGGGTTATGATATTAGATTTTGTAAGTACAATTTGCTAATCAAGCTTTTTAATTTTTTTTATCTTCTATTCAATACCAGAGGTACCATCACCGGATGAAGTTGAGGTCTATGTAGTTCTGCAAGAATGTCTAGAAATGAGGAAAAGATATGTATTCAAGGAGGCAGTTGCTCCTTGGGAGAAAGAAGTTATATCAGACCCCAGTACGCCAAAACCTAATCCTGAGCCCTTTTTTTATGCACCTGAGGGAAAATCTGATGTAAGTTTATGCTCACAATCTCAGATTCTGTATCACTATTCACTTGCATTTGAACTCGTTCTTTCTTATGGTTGTAAAGATGCCTACCCTTTTATGCAGCATTATTTTGAGATGCAAGATGGAGTAATACATGTCTATGCAAATAAAGACTGTAAGTGTTGAGAGACCTGATACTGAACTTCCTTACTTGTGATGATCTGAAATACTCTCTTGCTTAAGCATTTTCTTTCTATTTTTTTCTGTTTTATTTCAGCAAAAGAAGAGCTCTTTCCTGTGGCTGATGCTACAACCTTTTTCACTGACATGCATCAAATACTTCGAGTTATAGCGGCAGGCAATATCAGAACTTTATGTCATCACCGGTTAAATCTTCTAGAACAAGTAAATGCTTCTCCCTGTTTATGAAGTGCATGCTAATTTTGTAGTTTTCTATATTTGATCATTAAAATACTTTTTTGTTTTGATTTCCTGCAGAAATTCAATCTTCATTTGATGCTTAATTCGGATAAAGAATTTCTAGCTCAGAAAAGTGCACCGCATAGGGATTTCTATAATGTGAGGAAAGTTGATACTCACGTTCATCACTCAGCATGCATGAACCAGAAACACCTTTTGAGGTTTATAAAGTCAAAGTTGAGGAAGGAGCCAGATGAGGTAACTTTTATTCTTGTGATTTCCTCTGGCATGCTTTTACAAGGGCGCCTTAGAATTGCTGTTCTCCTTCTAAAACTGAGTTCTTTGCAAGTTCATGCATTTCCACTCTATGGTTTGGCCATTCTTCAGTGCGAGGGGGCCTTAGGTGCTATGTAAATGTGTGAGTGTGTTGTTGTGCCCACTCCTCTTGCAAATAGTGACCCTTTTCTTATGGTCTCTCTCTAATATGGAAGTTGCATACAAGCTCATTTGTTTGGTTTGACTAATTATAACTACATATGTGGTGTATGAATAGCCTCATTGCTTTGTGCAAAGGTGTGTGAAAGTGGTGCATGTTTAGAAACATTTTTGCCGCAAAGTTTTGTGTTTACTAAATACTTTCTTTGTGCAGGTTGTAATATTTCGAGATGGGACATATTTGACCCTGAAAGAAGTTTTTGAGAGCTTGGATTTAACTGGGTTATGACTTTTTCTTTTACTTATTTTTTGCTCAAAAAGGAAGGGAGGGAGAGATTATGTAACTAATTATAATTTATTTTTTCTTTTGTTTGAGCAGGTATGATTTAAATGTGGATCTTCTTGATGTTCATGCAGACAAGAGTACCTTTCATCGCTTTGATAAATTTAACCTTAAGTATAATCCTTGTGGTCAAAGTAGGCTCAGGGAGATTTTCCTCAAGCAGGACAATCTTATCCAAGGTATATCCTATATATTTCCGTGATTTTGAGGATTCAGGAGGACTGTGCCAAGATCACATTGAAATAAACAATTAATTTATATTAATTTGCTATGGAAATTGTTTGTTTGAAATATGTACCAAGATTCAGATATGTTGCTGAATCTTCTATGCTACAGTCCTTCCAATTCTTATTTGAATGAACCATCAGTCTCTCTTCTTCGTATCATTATATACATTATAAGGTGCTGTTCTTATTCTTTTGCTATAAAAATGATTCCATGTCTTTGCATATTGATTTGTTGCTTTGAAAGAATCTTCTCTTCCCAGTGATTGTTATTGTGAAATTAGAGAGTATTGTATCTCTGCAGGTCGATTCCTTGGTGAGCTTACAAAGCAAGTGTTTTCTGATCTTGCTGCAAGCAAATATCAGGTACTTCACTAGTACATTTTATCCCTGAGATAAATTCTGCTCTGACTTTTTGGACTTGGAAACAGAACTTCGGAGCAACTGAATAGAACCATTATATGGAAAGATTATTCTTTTTTAAATTTGCTTAACATGTTTTACTTCATTTTTTGGGGAGCTTTATGTAATTAATGAACTAAATTATGGAATGCTAATGTTTGCTTTTGATAATAAGCATCAGGTTGCTCCCTCTTTTTTACCACACCAAACAATATTATCTGGATTTTACATTGTTTTGATGTTCAATCTGATTGCTGCAGATGGCTGAATACAGAATATCGATATATGGCAGGAAGCAAAGTGAGTGGGATCAACTGGCTAGTTGGATCATTAACAATGAACTGTACAGTGGGAATGTTGTTTGGTTAATTCAGGTGCTAATAATCTCTTTGAAATCTCAGTACTTAGTCACTAGCTTCTTTTGCAATTTGTCTTGTGAACCTATATAAAAAGGTCGATTATTGGTCCCAATATGTGGATTAGAACCTTTGTAAATTATGACACTGACTCCACAAAGGAAAATTGTTGTATTCTGGCTGGGCAAGATTTCTCAGTCCTTGACTATGTAAAATTTTCTCTGTTTTTTGCTTCAGATCCCTCGACTTTACAATGTGTACAAGGAGATGGGGATTGTTACATCATTTCAGAACATTCTTGACAACATCTTTATTCCTCTGTTTGAGGTTACTGTGGATCCAGATTCGCATCCTCAGTTACATGTTTTCTTGAAACAGGTTTAGTATCTTGTATTTGTAACTATTCTATTTTTTGGATTGCAATGGTTTTGTGTAGATTACATTGTGCTTCAGTTTGCTTCGTTCACCATGACATCTGTTTCTTGTTGGCAATTTAGGTTGTAGGGTTGGATTTGGTAGATGATGAAAGTAAGCCTGAAAGACGCCCCACAAAACACATGCCAACACCAGATCAATGGACTAATGTATTTAATCCTGCATTCTCCTACTATGCGTATTACTGCTACGCGAACCTTTACACCTTAAACAAGGTATGTATTATATAAGTGGATACAGATTCATCTTTACTAGATTTAAAGATCTTTACCAATACCAGTCTCAAACAAATTAAATAAATGAACATTTGAGAATAGTTGCCTATTTCTTTGCATCAGCTTTATAGCTTTTTTCTTTACATAAATTGGTCTTTATCCCAATTACTTTTATTACTGGCTTTCTTCTTTAAATCAGCAATAGATACAATTACTTTGTTTTTGGTATACAAATGCTTACCTTTGTAGCATGATTTTTCCAGCTTCGTGAGTCCAAAGGCATGACAACCATCAAATTCCGGCCACATTCTGGGGAGGTACTCATGAAAGTTATATGCTACCTTTATGAATGTTTTATTTTTATGTGTCTCTCATATTTATAGTATTTCTCAGGCTGGTGACATTGACCACCTTGCGGCTACATTTCTGACTGCTCATAATATTGCACATGGATGCAATTTACGGAAATCTCCTGTACTACAGTATCTTTATTATTTGGCACAGGTAATAACAAAAGGAAACTTAAAAAATAATTTAGTTAATCAATAAGCTTGGAATTTCTAATTGTTGTAATGGCATATTGGTTATCAGATTGGTCTGGCTATGTCTCCTCTGAGCAACAATTCCTTGTTTTTGGACTATCATCGGAACCCTTTTCCAATGTTTTTCCTTCGGGGTCTGAATATTTCCCTTTCTACGGATGATCCACTTCAAATACACTTAACAAAGGAACCTTTGGTGGAAGAGTATAGCATAGCTGCTTCTGTAATCTCTCTCTCTCTCTCTCTCTCTCTCTCTCTGTGTGTGCAAGAATATCTTTACTTTTATCTAATGTTCAAGTAAAATTAAAGCCTTTGACTTGCAGGTGTGGAAGCTGAGTTCATGTGACCTATGTGAGATTGCTCGTAATTCAGTCTACCAGTCAGGTTTTTCGCATGCTTTGAAGGTACATCCCCTTTCTGATTTAAGAAGAGATGCTGATGGCTGGGAATGGCAAAGATCCGGTGTTGACCCCTTCTCTAGGAATAGTCAATATAGGGGTAGGAATGACTTGTACACAATCAATGTACATGTTCTATTCCGAACGACATCAATCTATTTGGGTGCTTGAAAAGTATTCATGAGAATATTGCGAGTGTGGAAGTAAATTTTTTTTGTTTTTATCTTTGCAAGGGCTGAGTTTTGATTGGGGACTTGTCCCAGGTCTACTACTATTTGGAGATTAGTGAGCTGACCCTTCCACTTTTGTAGAACTCTTTTTGAAATGATTGATGTATTTAAATTAGTTGCATCTGTTTCAGTCACACTGGATTGGAAAGGAGTATTACAAGAGAGGGCCTGCTGGAAATGATATACAAAAGACAAATGTACCTCATATCCGGCTGGAATTTCGTTACAAGGTAGGGGCATGACTAAATTTTTTTATGCACGGATTCTTTTTCTTGTTTATGCATTAAACAAACTTCAATAACCTGTGCAAAAACATAATTTCCTTACCCTGTCGTGCTGTCCACTTTCTGTTCTCTGCCTAGTAAGTAATTAAGCATTTAACATGTTATTCTTTTGCAGATCTGGAAAGCGGAGATGCAGCTGGTTTACCTGGGCAAGGCCATTATCCCTGAAGAAGTGGACAAGTAGCGTGCAGCGTACTGCTCAAGTTCTATTCTTTAACGTTACACATATATTTAGGAGGTAGCCATCTGATTCCTTTTAACCTAGTCTGTGAGTAGTTTCCAAGTTTCTTTTAATGTTTTTTAAATAATTCAACTTAAATTGAATAATTTGGTTTATCTGGCATTTCTAAATTTTTTTTAAAGATAGTGCATTTCTCTTATTTTGTTAGAGGAGGTAAAGAACCTTCCCTCGACCTGCATCCTGCATAACGGGGATGATGACCCATAAGAACGGAGAAATGGCATGGACAAGCAACAAGCTGGTCGTGAATTTAAAAGGGTTTGAGGCCACTGGTTGACCTTGTACATGATGGAAGTGTCGGATGGAAAGATCGGTATCTCAGTTCCCAGAGCAGGGGAATCCAAAACCAAATCAAATTCAAACAGGAGGAAGCAATTTACAAAGTATTCCATTAGATATAATAACAAAAATTATTTCTAGTTTTAGGTTAAGAGCGATTATATGATTCTACTTACTGTTGTAGTTTCAACAATGTATGCCATTATACAGTTTGACAAGAAGGGAATGGTAGTCTCTTGCATCATAAATTTTGACTCAGTTTGTTGAGGAATGTGGATTTCCCGTGCAACAGTTCTGAGTGCAGACGTCGTCAATAAATTTACACAGCTTCTTCAATCTCATTCTTCGTCTTCTTATTGTATTAATAAAGTCTCTTCCTCATTCGACGTCTGAAAGGGGAAAGGAAAACAAGAAAATTGTGAGAAAAATTGTTCCGCCTGTGACTTTGAGCTAAAGCATAACATGGTTGGCTGCTGTTCAAGCCCAACATTGCTTTTTCTTTTTTGTTTTGGGACAAAAATAACCCAATAATAATATCGGTTGTGGCCGAGTAACTTTGCCAGGCATAAAAATTCCTCTTGCCATCAAGCATTCCAGCTGTTGCAGCAGAATTAGAAAAACAGTTTCTAGAAGACGGATAGGTTAGCCATCAATTTTATTAGGTACAAAACGAATGAGTTGATTCTAACTTCTCGAAGACCAGTTGCACACCAAGAATTGCCTTTCCATTACATACCTTGATAACTTCTCCTAAGTCACAATATCGGGTTGGTCAAATTATCTCAAGGTCTATGTATTTTTTAAAAAATTTGAAATTTAATTCATAATATATATAATTTAATTTTTATGTTATTTTGCTTTAATAATTTTAGTTTAATCATTAATTTTTATCAATTTTGTAATATTAAAAATATTAATGTGACTATTGACTTAATGATTTGTATATTAATTTTATTACGTAGTATTAATTTTATTGACGTAATAAGTTAGATAAATAAATTTAATTATTAAATTATATAAATAATTTTTATATTCATATAAAATTTAAAATTTAATCTCTTTAATATAATTTCATAAAAATTTTATCCTTGCACAAATTGAACTTAATAGTATTGACTTAAATACTAATAAAAATCATATTTATTTTTTTAAAATCATATTTTAATTTAAAAAAACCAATATTTCAAAATTTTTAAATTTTTTAAATTAGATTTTATTTTTAAAAAAATGGTAATATTTCTAACTTTTAAGAAATTTTATAATTTTTTAAAATATTAAATTTACTTTTTTCAATATTTTAATTTTTAAATTAAATTCATTTTTGAGCTTTTTATTTATGAGATTTTATCATTTTTAATCAAAATACTTATTTTTAATTTTTTAGGAATTTTTATGAAATTTCTATATATTTGTAGTTTTTTTCTTTTAGAAATTGTCTATATTTTTTTTGTAAAAAATAATTATTTTAATTAAATAAAATGTTAAAATTTTAAAAACAAAAAGATCAAAAAATGAATTTTATTTAAAAAAAATTAAAATATTGAAAAAACAAATTTAATAATTTTAAAAAATTAGAAAATTTATAAAAAAAGTTGAAAACAATAAAATATTTTTAAAAATTAAAATGATTTAAAAATTAAAATATTTAAAAATATGAAATTTACTGTTTCAAAAATTTTTTTAAAAAATTCAAAATCTAACTTTAAAAATAAAAATCAGATTTTTTTATAAATAAAATAAAATAATTATTAATAATTAGACCAACAATATGAAGTTCAACTCATACAAAAACGAAATTTTGTTGAAATTATACGAAATGACTAATTTAAAATTTAAAATTTTGTATAAATACAAAAATTATTTGAATAATTTAATTATTAATTTCGTTTATCCAAATTGTTACATCAACAAAGTCAACTATTATATCATCAAGTCAACAACAAAAAATTGACGAAATTAATAATTGAACTAAAATTATTAAGTCAAAATAATATAAAAACTTTCATAATAAAATTGTATGAATTTTAAATTTTGAGAAAGTAAATAAACCTCCGGCATAATTTTACCTATTAGTTTCTATCAAATGTCATCCAGGCAAATAAGCTTTTATTCAAGTAAAATTGCAAGCTATTGCTTCAGCGTTCCAGCAGGAATAATTAGATTTTTAACAGAAAAACCTTTAATATAATCATTCATTCTTCTAGTCTACGATAGGAAGAGCATCAGGAGAAACTAAAAAAGGTGTTCCCTCCATGCCGAGGATTATCCAAATTCAACAAATAATAACTTCAGCGGAATCGAATGAACCCAAAAGTCTATCTATATTTTTTGCGTTGATGTATCTCTTTGATTACACCATCAGTTAGTGAATCAACATCATTATTCTTCCCAAAAAATTTTACGAATTCCATATTAGGATCCATTAAGTACCTGCATAAGAAAGAAAGACCAGAATCAATAGAAGTTGTGTTCTGTGTGATTTACAAGGGAAGTTCAGGATGTTCAGCATTAAGAATGAAAATCAAATTATTACAAAGTGTGCATACGAGAACAAGATTCCAGCTCACAAATAATAGGCTTCTTACTGCGGTGCATGAAATGCCAATTGCAGTGAATGGTTCAACAATTAGTAATTTCATCAGAAAATTGAATGATGCATGTTGAGAGGTTTAAGTACTTTACAGCAGTGCCACCCAAAGCCCACATTTACTACCATCCTTCCCTTTAGTAGCCAAAGAATTCTTCCCTTGCCATGACAATAAGTCTTCACTTGAAAAATTGAAAACCTTATCTTATTGCCTAGTCAAAAAAGTCTTGCCCGAAACAATTCCATCCTTTTCTAATTAGAGGTCCACTATTTGTGTTCATCACCGTCTACAACACTCCAAAATCTCTATACTCTACAAATGTCAATTGCCGGTTTGCGTTGAACATCATGCTGAACAAACTACAGATGCAGGTCAGAGCAAACAAGCATAAGGAAGCTAATACATACATGACTATGGAATGATCAACAAGGTAGTCTGAATCTTCCTCTTCTGTCTTCATATAATAAACTCGATATGCACGGGCAACTTTCTTGATCTCATCAGAGTTACCAGTTAACCCTACTAATTTTGGATGAAACTCTGCAAAAGTAGAAATATAATTACATAGCTAAGTGTTTTGATGAACCAAATTATAATAAGCATATGCAACTAGATCAAAATTGCATGCTTTGAAAAATACTATGAAGTACCTTTCACATATTCATGTACTTGCTCAGGGGTATCTCTCTCAGGATCAACAGAGATAAATACAGGCACAATTTCTATTCCCGCTTTTTCCTCTAAAAACAAAAGAAGATACCAAATAGAAATTATGACACTACAAATGGTACTGATCACTAGATATATTTCTAGTCTGACAAGTTCCTGTCCCATATTCTTGTTTCTATGCTAAATCCAGAATCAGATTATTTTCTTTGATTATAAGAAAGTTTTTAACGAATTAAACAAAAATACAATTCATAATTTTATGTTTCTGCCAAATGAAACTATCAGCAACTTACTTATTTTATCAATAGCAGCAGCTAGCTTTTGTAGCTCATCTGGGCAGATATCTGGGCAGTGAGTGAAGCCAAAATAAACCAAAGTCCATTTCCCCAAAAAATCCTTCTCAGTAACACGTTTTCCATCATGGTTTATAAGACTAAATGGGCCCCCAATGGCTGCTTTTCCAGCAGAAGGCCCCTCTTTTACAGCCTTTGAAGCATTACTTATTTCTGCAGCAGTAAAGCTTCAATCAATATTTGGGGGAAAGAAAAAAAAATATACTACTAATTAAAAATTCAAAATCACAGATATTTAATTCATCACCAAGCTAAATCAAAACAACTCTTTCCAGCCACAATTTATTTTCACGAAACTACTACTCTTAATAAAGCATTACACTTAAACCACATAATATCCTTCACGAAACGACATTTAAGAGACATATTATGATGCCCCAACTCGCGAGTTACAACTTTTAAAAGAGTCAGCTGCTTATTCTTATGTTTTGTTTCCCAGCAGAACCTTAAAACTAAAAAAACACAACTCACCATAGAATTGTACCTTCAATATGCCGTTTCTTTACTTTGTCGTAGTAAAGGATAATTCCAATTCCAGTGGCGAGCAGCAACAGGAAACTCAACCATGAAACAGGCTGTAAATGCCAATCCAATCAACACAAAATCCAAAAATTTTGATCCGAAAAAAGGGGAAATTTCAGAAAGAGAATCAAATGAAAAGCAATAAATAAATAAATACCCCTCCGCGAACAGGTTTGCCTGCATCACCACTGTTCTGTTGTGACCCTCCAGCGTTTTGGGTTCCTTCAGAATTGGCTTTTGATGATGAAAATGATGCCTTCTCTTGATTATCAGTAGCAGCAGTGGTAGAATTAGATAAATATCTTCCACAAATTCCCAAGGATTTGAAGTCAGCTCCAACAGCAATAACCTATGGACCAAAAACAAAAATACTCATAAAATATTGAAAGAATTTAGTAGGTTTGTTTCGAAAGGAGAAGTAAGAAATGAGGAGGAAAGCGAACCGGTCGTAAGAAAGGGGGAGATGGAGGGTGAAGAGAGTCGGTCATTGGGGATGAAGCTGGAAAGGATGATCTACATTGGCTCAGAGTGTGGGTATAAAGACATCGACGAAAGTTTCGAAAACGACTTGCGTTTCTCCAAATAGCAGTAGCCATGGCTGAACGGATTAGATTCCTAATACGTTTGCTTTTCACCTTTTGTCTTGTTGTGTTCTGATAAACCCTAGTGCGAAGGCAGAAGGGGTTTTCCAATGGGATTGAAATGGGTGAGAGTCTGGTCTGGCCTCTTTTCTTTTTTGCAATAAATTCCAGTTGGACCTTTGGGCTACTGGACACTGGACATATAGTTGGGCTTCCTTCTGCCAAATTTCACCGGTAATTTTTGGGCCTCTAACTCTGCCTTTTTCCACTATTTATTTACTTATTTTGTTGTAAAGTGAATCTGAAAAAAGTGCTCTTTGAAATCAATGGTTGCTTCCAACAATGCCCAAAAATCTCACCGGATACCATTTCTTTATTTGGTTTGGTTTTATAAAAATATATGGCAACTTTCTATAAATCTTTGCACTTATCCAAATCTCCAGTACTATAGAGAAAAATAACTCCTTCCTTCCCTTTCACAAAGTTAGTCCGTTAACCAGACTTGAATAAATAGTTGATAATTTTTATGTTAACCAAATAACAATTGAATGCAATGAACAAAAAAAATAGTGCCAAGTCTCAACGATACCGATGCGTTTTCATATCATCAACCCTCTTTAGGGAAGGAATACATAATTTATTGTATATTTAATAAATAAAAACTCAGAATACAAAAATATGTTCCGGTGGATTAGAAGCCCTAAAGTCCACCTCCTCTATTTCAGAGAATGAATAAACACAACACTAGATGAGATACGGCCTACAGATTATCAAACCTGCGAGAGTCACTGTTACAAATTGCCAAGTACTGTCATATCTGCCATATCACTGGTTTTTAGACTGCAACAAAAACAATATATGGTTAGAAACAATGATACATCCACCAAAGATAACATATCTAATATCAACTTAAATAGTAGCAGCTGACCTCCATATTTTTTGAGAGTTCTTTCATCTGTTCAGCAAGTTCTTGACTCTTCTTAGCAGCTGCATACACCAGAGCCAACAATTACCATCAGCAAGTTCTTTCATTGGTTCTATGTTGGATAACAATGGGCCAAATTGACATAAAGAAAAAAAAAAAGAAGGACCACAGTAAATGAAGGAAACAAGCATATATGACATACCCATATTGGAAATATCATCTATCTTCTTTGATGTCCTCACAGCAAATCTCTGGAATGCAGGACTGAAAAATTAAAAACCAAATAAATTGAGAAACTAAGGTCGGTCCTCCAAAAGAATCACATATCACCAACACAATGCAAGTAAATAATTAAATAATGAAACTAGATGAAAAAAAAAAAAAAAAAAACCCTCAACTCAAGTTATCTAAAACTATGAGAAAACTTTCCACAGGCCATTAAAGATCAAAGTGCAATTCTATTTTTGGGTTCATAGGAGATTTTTCAAACCTCGTGTAGACAATGCTTAGTACTTTACAGTATAGATATCCCTAACAAGTCTACCAAAGCAAACTAAAATTAATTATAACATAAGTTTCTGAAACAAAAATTGATCAAAAGCATTTGAATAGATCTACTAAATAAAAAGTTGGTAATATTTCCAATATATTTATAATGAAAAGGGAAAGGGACTGGTTATTTGAGGTAAAATCTTCCAAACTTAATACATAATGCATGACATGTTGCAGATGAAAATTTATGAAGATTTGAGGCACTCTTGCTTCAAGATAACGAGCTGAAGGGTCACAGACGAGCCCAAGCACACTAAGAAGGATGCTTCCAAAATTTGTTAACAAAACATTATCTCAAAGGACAACATGCTATTTACAAGCCTTCATACTCATCAAGAAATTTACTTCCTTTATACTCCACCTTTGTCCAGATATTACCCAATACGCAATTGGTCACAGGTAATGGAAATACTCAAGTGAAGATATAAATGCATTAATGATAATATAATTAAAAACAAAATAAATAATAAGAAAATCAAAGAAAGCTCTAACTATGTTTTAAATAATAATCAAATAAGAAGGTTACGGCCAGAGAAAAATCAAACACAAATGACACGAAAAGATTCTCAAACTTCCAAAGTTGCAGTTGTGTGGCAAATCACACCGCAAAAGTAATAACCTTAGGAAGTCATGAGCTTTACATTGCTTCAGCTAAACTGTTAGAGCGCGTTTGGTTTGTGGAAATCCACAAATTTTCCCCTAAAATATTGATGGTGGGTATTTGTTTCCCATGTTTGGTGCAGGGTAATCCAATTACGAGAGAATGTCAAATTCCCAACAGTACCCAAAGTACCGGAATAAAAAACCCACCTCTTTCTATGGTATTTTAGGATTCCATGGAAAAAAGTTGTCTTATTTCCAAATTTGACTTGAATAAAAAATTTCTCACATATCTGTTACCCTTTTGAAAAATAAATCCAAAACTCAATTTTAACTTTTTTTTAAAAAAATTTTCCTTATTTTTAATTCCGTTTTAATATGTGGCAATTAAAACATTTCAGGGAAGAAACGCCTTAATTGATAATCAAAACGCCTTAATTGATAATCAATTAAGGTAAGGATCAATTAAGGCGTTTCTTTCTTGAAACACCTTAATTGATATCAATTAAGACATTCCTTTAATCAAACGACTTATTTGATGCTTTTTCCAAAATCTTTACAAAAGCATCACATAAGGCATTTCTTTGGACATACGCCTTATTTGACCCATTCAAATAAGGTATTTTATTTTTACAAATGCCTTATTTGATGATTTTTCCAACATATTTACAAAGCCCATTCAAATAAGATGTTTCCTTTTTACAAATGCCTTATTTGATAGATGATTTTCTAGAATCTTTACAAATTCAACTAAGGCGTTTCCTTTAAACAAACACCTTATTTGATGCTTTTTCCATCATATTTACAAAAGCAAATAAGGCGTTTAGCTCTTCAATAAGCCATACTTGATTTTTTTTTTTTTTATGTTTTAATACAGCAAGTTCGGCTTGATGTCTGGTTAAACATTGTATTTGGGTATATTTAACTAAAAAAAATTAAAATCTTTCTTTTCTTATACTGCTAAAGGTATCATTTGTCGTTTGGGTTTCTTTTATTAAAACAAAATGAAAGGTTGCTTACAACTTGTCAAGGAGATTATGGTAATTATATATGAATTAATAAACCAAAATCCTCCCAACCATATGAGTAAATCTGATTATAGGATGTTCTGAAAATCAAACAAAACCCCGGGTATCACACTTTCCCCCAGAATAACCAAACGCCCCTTTAAGGAATAATTAACCTAAACTCCAACGGCCTAAAATGAAGCTTCAATCAAACAATTTTCTATGTCATAAAAATTCCTTATAAACTATTACAGAAAATTTGTATTTTAAAAGCACTTTAAAAATTCCTAATTTTCAGCACGACTGAAATTAAATTGAAGAAATGAAAAATATGAACAAAAATAATTCGAAATCATTACCTGTTTGCAAGTCTATCAACGACAAGTTCATTGATGACGTAAGACATAACTCTATGCATGAAATTCCCTCCGGCCATGATCACTTTTCGAAAATCTGATAAAAACTCTAAATCGCAATCATCAGATTAAAAATCCCAAATTTAATTAAGCCCTTTTTTTTTATTTTGCAAAAAAATAAGTATTATTAATCATGTAACAGGTAAAGTAAAAAAGAAAATCCGCGCTAAGGGCTTTCAATATTTAAAGAGGAAATATGGAATTTTACCTCCCAAAGCCAAACGATGAACAAGAAGCAAGCTCCAATGTTTCTCACAGTTACCTGATTTCTCTTTGGGTGTCTTGAATTTCGTTATACCAGGTCGCAGCCGCAGGGGTTTTTCATTTGCTTTTGTGGTTGAAGCTGGGTAAGGGACTCGGGGATTCGTCTTTCCAAGGTTAAGTTGGACCATTCATGGCCTTGGATTCACGGGCCAGATAACTCTGTTGTACAAAAGAAAGATATGTTACGGTCCATGGGCCTTCATTCACTGAGAATCATTCTTTTTGTTCGTTTGGTTGGGACTGGAAAAGAAAGTCATTTCAACAATAATTTTTATTTTCACCAACTTTAATGAAAATTGCATTTTTCACAACTTTAATAATATTTTCACCAACTTTATCTAAATGTCATTTTGGAGACCTATAGGCTACTGCCACTCTCTTTTTTTTTTTTTTATCAATATTTCATATTCAAATGTAATCAAAGGCAGAACTTGACATTTTGTAATGATGCTTTTAATGAGCTTGATTTTGTATTTTTATTTAAAACGGAGTTGTTAAGTATTATTATCAACATATTTTTCTTAAAGTGTTATTTTTTTTATATTACTTGTTGAACATTTTCATGCATGATATTATAAAAAATGAAATTAAAAACCTGCAACAATACGGAAGATGTGACACTTGTAATTTTTATTTTCACCTACTTAATAATATTGTCATCACCTTGTACTTGTCGAAGATTTTGGTCATGAAATTTCGCTATTTAACTTTATGAAATATATCAAAAAGTGTAAAAGGTAAAAAGCAAACGTTTGACTTTTGGCCTATTAATTAAAAAATAAAATGAATTTGCACTTTTTACCAAAAAAAAAAAAAGTGCACATTTTAGTTTGTTTGTTATTGAATTTGAGAATTTGACTAATTATGATCAAAGAAATTAAGACATTTTATTTTGTTTTATAAAAAAAATTATTAAATATTATCTTTTAAAGATAACTGAAATGAATTAAACTTTAAATTTAATTCAATTCTTGTAATTTGATAGTTCACATTCCATGCATAATTTCAATTTCTTAATTATTAAATTTTGGTGGTCAACTCGTTAGATAAAGAGCATTTTTATGGATGGGCTATCTATTTTGCTAGCTAACTTTCTTGTCTTCTTTAATAATTTTAACATCAAGAATTAAATGAAGCTTTCATGTCAAATTTCTCCAAATCTTCAATTAAATTGTTGGTGCCTTTTGGAGTTTAATATCCATTTCATTCAAACATCTTTACTATTATTCGTCTTCAGCCCAGAAGATACATTTAATTGATGATCGATTGGAGCTTAATTAAAAGTTCTTTCCTTGTCACAGGTTTTGTCCAAAAAAAAAAAAAAGAAGAAGAAATTGCTTAATTTGCTAAAAAATACTACTTGCAGATACAAATGAAAAACTTTGAACACATATTAAACATATGGATTTTCTGTTTTTTTTTTTTTTGGGTGAAAAAGGAAAAATCTACAAATGTGCTAAAAATATTTGATTCCAAGTATCTGGAACTCCAGGCAGGCACCAATGGATGCAATCTGCATGGCGTCGTGGGTCTGCTTTTTCCTCATCATTTAATAACCTTCCTCCAGTCTCTGTATAAATTGATGAATGTGCATCAATTCTGTACTGTGAGAGCTGTGTTATATTCAGAACTGTAACAGGAACTTTCATTTTCTTCAACACACCATCCACCACACTCATCATCTTCTTGTCAGAACCATTTCCCCAGAACTTCTTCTTCATCACTGGCTTCGTTTCATTGAAGCATTTCAGTCCATCTTCCCTGCCCCAATCTTCGCTTCTGCAGAGAAAGAGATTAAATTGTTAGAGTTGGAAAAACAGTTAACAACAATGATGGCGTAGTCTGTTGATGCGGTGTTGACTCTTAATTTTGGCCATCAATGATCCGGATTCAATCCCGAGTAACCCCATGTACAACAAAAAGAAAAAAAAAAGAAATTTATTCAAGGTAGATACAGGCATGCAAGAGAATTAAAAAGAGACCTTGTATGTACAGGGGACAGAGTTGTGAAGAAGATACGAGTCTTGTTGGGATTTATAGTTGAATCAATCCAGTTAGCCCATGTCTTCAAACCAATTTTGTAGGCAACCGGTGCATCCAGCTCTGCAAAACCATCTTCACCATTTGCGAAGGAACCCCATCTGTTCTTAACAGAAAGTAATGCAAAAAATTAAAAGCTTAACTGACAATGATTTGATTAGTTAAAACTAATTACTGAGAACTTACAACGTCTTGAGCCTAAGCCCACTCATCCACCAAACATAAGTATTAAACGCAAGGATATCAGCTCCTTCCCAGTGTTTGGAGTGCTTGGCAACTGAATCCACTTTTAGTATTCTCTTCTTTGGATCTAAAACATCGATATCCGTGTTGGATTCAACAAGAAATGGAGCCCAGTAAAATTCAATAGTTGCATTATATTCCTGCAAAATTTAAAAATTTAATGGGATTGAGAAGCATTAGCTTTGTTTCCTGATAACCTTTTCGTTTTACATTCAAGCAATGGAACTGGAAGTCTGTCAATTGTTAAGAGGCATAATTATGAAATTGATACCTTGGCTTTGAAGACAGAACGAACTTTTCCTTGTTTCATAGATTTCTTTTCTGGAGCTATAGTCCATTCAATCATACAAATGAAAGATTCCCATTGATTTCTTTGAAGGGAATCCCCTACAAAGAGTAGCCTCTTTCCCCGAAGCTTTTTTAGTGCAAGTTCTGGATTGAATCTACACAGATAGAAACATTAGAAGAATAGAAAATAGTACTACAAGAAACAGTTTCATTTCCATGCATGAATATATGTCTGAAACTAAAAAAGAATATAAAGTTTCTTACCTAGGCAAGCTGCAGTCCTCGGGCTGCCATTCCCAGTGAAGGTAGTCGAAATCAAGCCGACCATTTTTCACACAAGAAAATTGCCTGTCGAGGTATGGACAACTTCTATCTGTGTACAAAGGCTTAATAGAACGGTTGAACACCCACATCCCGTGAGCGATATTACATTCTTCAGCGTCAAACTCGAACCTGTCATCGATTTCGTGGTTTTCTAGGTTCTCTTCTGCAGCTTTATCCTCTGTTAGACAAGGACATTTCAACATTAAAATCTTTGTGCTAGAATTTTGAAAAGGAAAAATAATTTCCAACTATTAACAAAACCAAACCCTGTTTGAATTGCTTAGCTATAGAGTTACTTACTAGCTTTTGTAACAGCACCTCTTTTTGCACAGGATTGGGATTTGAGAATAGAATTTGAAGAAAGAAAACTTAGTCGTTCCGTATATAAGAGAGCAAGGAATGCAAAACTGCAGACTATAACTGTGATAATAGAAAGATGTAACTTTCCTCTGTAAGATTTCATCATGATGGTTGAAGGAGATGCTGCAAAGCTCATGGTTGGAGGGAGAGGGGAAAGCTGAGAGAAATTAAACTCAACGGTGTGGGATAAAAAAGTATGAGCTAGCTGGGGCAATAGAATGATAACAACTTTTTTATTTCTTTCTTTTTTTTTTTTTTTTTTAATTTTACGAGTGTTTTGAGTAGGAGTAAAGCTAAAGACATGTATGGTTGGGTTGGGCGCTCTAACATCCTTTTTAATTAGTAAAAAATAGTGGAGGTTAGAGAGTAAGTTGAAAGGCTAACATCTTTGGACTCCTCCTCTCTTCTCCCATAGCTATTGTGGAATCTACATGTTCCCAATAACCACTTGAGTGTCGTTGCCATCAAATTTAGACGGTTTAGAATATTTTCATTAGGTGGGAGAAATTAATGAAGTATTTGTTAATAACAGGAGCCAGGAGTACTGAAGCAATAATCTCTCATCTGTCTCTCTCTTTTTGACTTCTTTGTGTTCATATGCATCATTGCTGAATACGATCAATTTATTATTATTTTAAAAATTTATTCATTAATAAAATAATATTATTTAATTCACTGATAATATATAAAATTTATACATTAACCAAATATAAAAAATAAACCCATATATATTTATGTTGTAAATGGAGAAGCAGAAAGGAAATCCCACTAGTTGGAAAATGCCTTCTGTTGAAAACAGAGTCAAGTTCATATATATAACTTCTTATAAAAGTAAATCATCAAGTCTCGTGAACAAGCCATTGGAGAATATTGGCATGCTCATCATGGTATTTTTTCATAGCTTTTTTTTTTTTTTCTTTTGTTGAAACGAAGGGAAATGGCTGGTGCTTTTATTTTAAACCAAAGCTGAGCCTTTTCTCCCTTGATTCCTCATTAATATGCACGTTTGCTTACATTTGCCTCCAAAATTTGACTGGGAAAAAATGACATTTTGATAGAAAAGCGCATTTTATTCAAACTTGGGAAAAGTTGTAATAAATTCTCCTAATAGGGTTTATAGTTCGTAGAATCTTGAATTTTAAGAGAAAGTGTAATTTTTAAGAAAATGCGATACTCAAGATTTTTTTTTTTATTTCCAAGGCATCTTGTGTTCAATTCATTTATTTAGTTGGGGAGAATCCACGTATATTAATTCTTAAATAATTATTATAATCTCATTAACATATATGATGTCAACTTTTTATTAGTTTTTATTAATAATAAATATCCAAATGACAAATGATACATTTAACAGCAAAAAAAATATATTTTATTTTATTGTTATTTTTATTTATAAAATATCATCAATAAAAAAATATTGAGAATTATTTAAGTGTTTTTGGTTGGGAAACGCCTTAAATAATCTTTTTTATTTTTAAAAAAAAAATTATTTAAGACGTTTTTTGTTTAAAAATACCTTAAATAAATGCCATTTAAAAAATATAAGGATATTATTAGAAAGTGTTTTTATAATATCTAATATTTTTTAAAATGGATTATTTAATGCGTTTTTTATTAAAACACCTTAAATAATCAATTTCCTTACTTATAACATTTAAGAGATAAAATATAAAAAAATTAGAGTAATTTAGTCAATTAGAGTATATGGTTATTAACCATACAGTTGTAGGTTCAACGCTTTCTTTTAACACTTTAATGTTTTTCTAAGGGGATTATTTAATACCCTTCAATTTTTTGGACCATATTATTTAAGGTATTTTTGACTAAAAATACTTTAAATAATCTTTTTCATTATTTATAAGATCTAAAAGATAAAATATAAAAAAATTGAAGTAGCTCAATTGGTTAAAGCATATGATTATTAACTATAAGGTTGTAAATTTGACTCTTTTTTTTAGCATTTATTTTGAGAGATTACTCTTTTTTAGGATTATTTAAGGTATTTTCTAGCTAAAAAATATCTTAAATGATGCTGATCAATTTTTTTAGAGGATTATTTAAGGCATTTTCTGACAAAAAAGTCATTAATTGCAATATAAAAAAAAATTTTAGCAAAAAAAATCTATAACTGACTTACAGTCACTTTCAAACATACCTTTCAAAATAGTAACAGCTATTTCATAATCTTTTATTTAGGTCAAATTTGAAAATAACGTAATTTTTTTCTCGAAATCCTAGAATACCACAAGGATATGTGGGTTTTTTATTCTAAAACTTTGGGTACTATAGAGAATCTGTAACTTTCCCTTGGAATCAGATTACCTTAAACCATATGTTAGAATAAAATATCTAACAGTAAGATTCGAGAGGAAAATACATGAATTTCTTTGAACCAAACGCCCATTAATAGTTAATCTTTTTCTTTTTAGTACAATAGAAATTCTTTTTTAATGTCATAAAAAGTAGAATTAACATCTATTCTCAAATAAATAAGAGAAGTGGAGATGTTAATGAAGAAATAGGAAAAGCATAGTGTCCTCAGCTATTATTTCTAATCTACCAACTCACATGTAAAATAGTTGTGCTAAGCTCTGACCTAAAGGTATTCTTGAGAGAATAAGAGAAGGAAGAGAGCAATTAAATGCAAAGGCAGAAAGTGTTTTCTGCATTTGCATTCAGACGCGCAAGTTAGATATCAGAATAAGGAAGATTTAAATGGGAGAAACATAAAAAGTTAGAACAAGATAAAGCTTTTAATGATAATATATGGATGTTTATATTTATAGGTAAGAGGTAGAAAACCAATAGGGGAAACAATGACATAGTCGAACTGATATGGCACTGAATATGTTAGGTTGACACAAATGTCTAAAATACCCCTAATTGTCTGTTGACAGTTTCTAATAAAGAAAAAAAATCATAATACCCTTCTAATCGCTAAATGCCCCCAATATTCTTTCTCTCCATCGAGCAATTTAAGTATCAAATTATTGGGCATGTGATTAATTTATTTTGCATATATTGGTCAGCTTAAAAGGGTCACTAGGGATCCAATCTCCTTTGGGCTGAGGTCATAAATCCATGAGATCGATGTGAGGGCCAGCATCAAAAGGTGATATTTGTTGTTCATTTTGATCCGAGCTGTCTTAGTGTGTGTCGACTTGACATAAGTCTGATCTTACGTGTGTGCTTTAGGTTAAATATATGACTCATTTATCGAAATGTCTCTTATCTAGGATGATCCAAGGTGAAGACAAAAGGTTTAAGAGGGTTGAAGAGTTCATTTGGCTAATGTAAGATTTAAACATTTTCAAGAACTCGAATCCTTGTTTACGCTTTAATGGTGATCAGTTCGACCTGAGGACCTATTCAATCTAATTGGTATGATCGATTTAGGTGGTTAATGTCACATCAAATAAGGAGAAAAGTTGTTTTGGTGGTAAAATTTAGAGTAAGGAAGGTGAAAAAATGCTCTCTAATAGCATCTTGACACATGGTGCAATTTAGGTTGTTCATCTGATTTGGGGTATGACTAGATAAAAGGTTGTTGAGACCTTTATTTTTCACCTTTTTTATTTTTTTACTTTTAATTTGACCTAAGCTTTTTTACCTTAAAATTTTTTTAGTCTTTCTTGACCTTATAATTTTTTTTCTTTCAACTGTTCTTTCCATATATCTTAGTATATATTCTTTCCTTTATGTCTTTTAGTGTTAGTTTTGAGGATGCAAGGAGCTTCAAGGTAGAGCCAAGGAAAGGTTGACTTAAAAAAGATGATGATGATTTAGTCCCACCAGTCATCAAAAGTCAAGATTACAAAAAGATGGCCTATTAGCTTAACCTAATATCTAAAGAAAAGTAGTAATGAATTGATGAAAATGCTCAGGTAAATGGATAACAGGTCTTGAGACGAATGAGTTATGCTCAGATAGACTTTGATTTAAAAAATCAACCTCTTTTTCCTCTATCCCAAGTCAATCCATCTTTTACGATTAACCTTTTATTCATCTTTGGTTGTTCCCCATTCTAGGGCTTAGTCTCATCAACTTTTTTCCTTTTTTGCTTCATGTCTTATAAATACTCTCATTATTTTTTTCTTTCTTTTTAATCAAATTTTATTGATATCTTTTCTCTTTTTGAGAAGTTTTTTCATCCCTTTTCTTCTCTCGAGGTCATGTTACTCCCTCGCTACTGCTCTAACTTGGAATTTTGCTCATATTCAGGAGTTTGAGTCTTTTAAAGGTGAATACTTTGATGACGAAGAGGAACAATAGAAGAACAATACCCATGTTAAAGAAGACGCTGGTGAGAAGGAAAGTTTTTTTAAACCAGATAAGCTGGTTGAAGTTTCTATATGTACCCTATACTCTTTAGGTATGATCTTCAAAAACATGATAAGGAACTTAAAAAAGGTAAGGTTAATTTTAAAAACTACCTAAATATGTATTCAGCTCTAGAGTAAACTTTTACTTTTTAAAGGATGAGTATAGTATATTAATGTCAAACTTTTCAAATTGGGTTATCAATAAGCTAGAGCCTCATCGACTCTAGTTATATTGGGATTCAATGGTGGCCAGTCTAAGGTTCCCCCTTCAGTTTTTGTTTATTTCAATTTTTAATTCTTATATTTTAGCAATCACCTAACTCACTTCTAATTAATATGGTACATAGTAAGATTCATAGTTTTTTGTCAACACTTAGCCATTTTTCCTAACTTTCCTCTATTTAGGGATTTTTTTTCCATAAAAAAAATACTATAGTGATAAGAGGTGGTTTTATGCCACAGTTTGACCTAATAAAAAGTTGTTTGTAGATTATTTGAGCTCCATCAAAAAATAAAAGTTGCATTTCTTTTACCTTCAAAAGGAAAAAAAAATAAAGATAATAAGTTTAAGGTCAAGGCCTAGAAGATAATAAATAAGCCCAATAATTTTACTGATGTACTTGTTGCTCTTTTTATCTAGGACCTCACAGATCATGATAAAATAATGGAATACACCCAAAAGAAAGAACTCGTCATAGATGCCTACATGCTGACCTCCTTCAAAATGATAAACAAATCAAATTATTAGGGTGAGTGTGAGGTAACCTCATAAGATTTTTATTTTATTTGATTTTTCTCTAACTTTTAGCTTGATTTTGTAGAGATGTCTTCCAACTTAGTGAAAGACTTTGACTTCTCCCTTTTCTCCTACAAACCAAGGCCCAAAAAGGTTCAGAATAAAAAGATTCAACTCGATGCCCCCTCTGAAGTGGAAAATAAAGTGGTGAATCCCATGATGAATAAACGATCAAGCTCTTTAGCTCAACCCTCCATCGCCACTAAAAAGCATAAGATGACAACACATTGGGAGC